TTAGTTACTATTTCTTTATCGTTATCGTATATTTGTAGCTTGTTGAAATTTTGTTGGCTTCGGCTTACAGAGAAAAGAATGTAATATTAAAACTTTCGTATTTGTTCATCAAAAGTTAGCGATTACTTTTAAACAATTTCTTTTTAATTTCTTTTAAATTTTTCTCTTCATTTTAAAGGTAATAACTTAATTAATACATTTTTACAAGCATAAATATGAAAGAAACGAAACCCCGTGAGTTCATAAATTATCGATCTTTTACAGGCATTTCTCACACATATATATCCAGTATTTTGGGTTTTAATTTTGGATGTTAATTTTTGGCATTTGTACAGAAAAAAAAAAAAAAAAAAAAAAAAAAAAAAAAAAACATCATCCATGAGATCTGAACGGTTTTCTTTTAATTTCAATAAAAGCCTTTAATATTTTAAGCCATTCTCATCATTTTGCTGACTTTTCTGTCAAATTAAATTATCATTTGGTAAGAAAAGTACACAATATACACTAGATAACCTATCGCTTGGTATTGCTTTGATTTTTATATCAGAATCTCTGGCTGCAGAATTTATCTTGTAATGTGTAATAAAAAATGAGGTAGATCATTGACGAATCAGTAGAATAATGAATTTAATACACTGGACTAGGTATTTTGGGAATCAAATTACTGTATCTAGCAGAAAATGCATTCTATCTTTCCAGGGAAACTTAAGTTCCAGGGAAAGTTAAAACTATATTATGCAGGTAATTGTTTTAAACGCAGGATCAATGTATTTTGAAATAAATTTTAGAGAATATTATGCATGATGTTGTCTGTACATATTCGTAATCAATCATAACAGCTGTTTAAATTTTCAAACAAACCTGTACCTCTCAACCGAGTCGAATCTTAAAATGAATCACTGAAATCTGGCGAAAACATTACGTCGTGGCTTGCTAAGTTGAATTAGACCACTTTTTATCGGAAAGTAACTGAGAATGAGTAAACGAAAGAAGACTAAGTAAGCAGTCGAATATAAAATTCGGTGGATGTATGCCGGCGGTTGAGAAAAATGATTATTCTTTTCTGTTTATTAGTTCGCGGTTGCAGGCAACAGCTACCAAGTCCAAGGTGAAACTCGAGCTGAATCTCAAATCGCAGCAGATGCTTTTTTCGATTTTGTGTTGCGTACGTTCACAAACAAAGAGAACAGACTTTTCTTGCAAAGACCATTGATGTTTCTTATTTTATATAATGCTTTGTTCCTTTCGTTACTTGTCGGAAACACTTTACTATTTTCCTTTCTATTCGAAAAGAGCAAAGAAAAATTTTAGTTAAATACCATACTAAGACGAATTCTTTAAAAGGATATCAATTAAAATCATGTGTGCGTTAAAAAGGAATTTTGAACAATGTGTATTTGAGCTGCGCAATTTCACTTAGATGAGAATTTGTTTTATCAAATACTCGTATGTTGAAAATTTTTTGAAGGTTTATGGTAATTTCAAAAACTAGCAGACAGGAGGGCATAATCTAATAATAGTAAAAAAAAAACGGGAAAATAATATATACACAAAAGCTTAGAATCTTTTATATCAAACGTTAATAATATGTATTATTTTATCAACTGAAGAAACATAAATGGTTATACAAGTTTGTGTGAGTATAGACAGGTGATTCATTTTGCAAGCTGAGTTCGTATATTTAGCTATCCGTAATATATATGTATCACAATTCCAAAACTCATTTTCGCTTCCACTGAATTGTATTAGTAATATGTATATATATATTCCTTGTAGCAACCTTTATTCTAAAAATGTTCAATCTAATAAATAAATAAAAAAAGAGCGTTTTGAGCACCAGCAATCCAACATGATTTGGATTCTTTTGGAAATCTGGTTGCCTTAGTCAATATGATTATCGATGATGTATCGTGCCAACGACAGACACAGTTATGTGCAAAACAATGTTATCCAGGAAGAACTTAATATTGTACAACTCGGTACTTTCTATTACCATTTGGCCAGAAAATTCCATGTTCAAATGAGAAATGTCTCAAACTCTGAAATCGGAATCTACAACTATATTACAGTAGTATGACCGACAAATAAAGACCTATGTAATTGATGGAAAAGTAATGTATCACGCTTTGTCTCTAAAAATATTATAAATTTTAGGCTGTATTTTTATTAATTTTGTATTTCTATTTGTATTTATTATACCTTTTGTGTAAATATGTTATTACTTACTGAAATTGGGTGATTAGCATTTACCTTATGAATTATGCACCAACTCAGCAGCTTTCGTTTTCCCCTGCTCTCAGTTTTAGTATTTTAAATTCAATGTAAAAAGAAATCATTAATATTTAATCATTAGTCAAGATAATTGATCTAAGTTAATCTCAGAATTTAAATCTTAATTTTCAGTTTAATTCGATTAGAGGTACAGTTTCGTACCCGGGCACCCTGGTGTTTGACCCCGTTAAATTTGACACAGACGCAATTCTGAGCTACTCGTCACAATAAAATTCGTGGACTTGTTCTGATGCTACAATCCGCAAATGAGATAAATCGCAACAGCAAAATACTGGACAGTTTTATTCATATTCGTCTTAAAAAGATCGCTGCCGTGACAAGTTCTCTCCCCGTATTGTATATTTTCGATTAATTGCGTTGCCGATAGAAATTTCGGCCGACGGCTAGCGAAGTCAAAAATTATGATGCTGGTGTTTTCGATAGCGCTGTGATAGGAAGCCTCAGTGCTCTCCAATAATTGTGTTTTTAAAGAGCTGGTGGTACAATAATTTCTTTAAGAAATATGTTTTTAATATAAATTACAGGAGCTAAAAACCTTTGCTTTAAAACTGATTTAAAAAAAAAAAAAAAAAAAGATTTTCCAGATTTTGTGAATGTTTCCTTTCTGAAATCAAAACTATGCGACTGAAAAAAAAATAAATTGACAGATACAACAATATAATAAAATCTGCTGTTCAAGTCTCAGCTTTAATAATGCTAAAACTTACTCTTGTATTTTGACAAGTCAGGATTGCATTAAGGATCAAAATAGGATTGAAGGGACAAAATGATAAGGGAAATGCAATCCTCATCACCCGGAACGCAAGGATCTGGATCCAATTTTCCCATGCCAGATATTGGCTACGGTCTTTTTTTTTTTTTTTTTTTTTTTTTTTTTCTGTCTATGCACGAGTGGATGAAAAGGACTGCAGATAAAACGTACAATCCTCTCCAGACTTCCTGAGAACTGCAAATAATCGCTTATAAGCTTACTTAATTCGAGCTTTCAAAGTACTTTCAATCTCAATCAGTTCCTCTGTTTTATCGCCGTGTCTTCTGCTTCACAATCTTTGTAGTTTTTGTCTTAAGGATTACGCAGATTCGGTATAAAGAAAAGATGGCAATAGAGCTGTGAGAAAATATGGAGGAATTAAAATATTTTATGACAGTTTCGATTTTTTAAATTAGTATGTAAAATGCCTTTCAACAAACGAGTCTTTGCATCTAGCGAATCGCTTTGCATCGTAGGCAACCTGTAATCTCATTGATTGCCTATGCATATAAGTTATTAATAGCTAAAAGCTGAATTCAGTGGCGCAACAGCCCTAGTGGGCTAAGTGTTGAGTCCCAAAGTAAACTTGGTACTCATTTGATCGACCCAAGGGATGGAAATCAAGGGATGAAAAGCTGAGTCGACCTTGCCAAGCCCGGGGATCGAACCTCGGACCTGTGGTGTTGCTGTACGATGCGCTAGCGGGCGTCAATTAATAGCCACATTTTCCTAATTTTGTAAACATTTTACCTCGAAAGATATTTCTTGATTTTATTTATCCAGGTTTCTGTTGTTTTCATTATATCACTCTTATCGATTAGTTAAGCTTTTTGTTTGCAAATTTTAACATTATCATTGGCCAAAAAAATTTGTGTGCGTGATATGAGCGTCTTGAGTGAGAGTTACATAAGAATCACAAGATAGAGATTAATTCTGGAATTATGTATTTCAGAGATGTTCATTGAAAACATAGTATTATTTTTAGGATACAGAGGGAAAATACTTAAATTTAATGGAAGGGGAATAACTAAGAATTATGATAGAAAGAAGAAATAACCAAATAATATTATCGTGATTAGTAATTATTTTAATGATAATAGCTAATAACCAAATTAAGTAGGATCTCAAGCAAATTAATGTGAGATTTTTATCTTACTATATTGGGAAGGCATGAAACATAAGAACACATTGGGATGGCATAAAATCAGTAAATGTCTTAACTACTGTATCCGTAATATATTTAGCCCACCATGCAACTTACTGGATAAGACCAGTAAACACTGATAACTGAACAAAGTTCCAAATTCTGGCGAACAAACTGGCTGCATGGTTGTTCGCAAATCTCAGCGAACAGACTGCATGCAGATTTTCATTGATTTTTTTTCCTTTCATAATTCGAGTACAAGGCAATGTTTCTCAGAAAGTCCTCCATGAAAGTATCCTTCCCTCAGGGATTATACTCTAATATACCTATTTGTAATTTAATGACTCCAGATCTCTAGGTAAACAGTTAGTGTGTTTCTCGAAATTCAAACTACATGTATTAAAATCCTTTACTACACATATATTTAAATAATAATTTAGGAAACAGAATAATAATATTTCTTGTACATTATTAGGTGGATCTAAAGGCAGGTAGATGAAAGCTATGTAAATTAGCAGTCTAACTTAAATTAGTTTTGCCCCTTAACTCGTCATTTAATTTTGGGTATTTTCCCTTTCTGTACTAAAAATAGTAACTGCTCATAATAAACATCTCTGGATTGCATCACTTTCAAATTAATTCATGTCAAGTGATTTTTACATAATGCTGGAGATACTGTGAATTTGCATACAGTACAGTAATGCTTCAGTCTCCAATATTTGTGAAGAATGGTGTATAGAGTAAATATATTGAAATATCAGATTTCGCTAAGTCTGACATTAGTACTCTAATATTGTTAATTTTTCTTTGCAGTCTGCGGCGAGGAGAGCAGGGACGAGCTGTGCGAACTGCAAAACGACTACGACCACTCTCTGGAGACGGAACCAGAATGGAGAACCCGTCTGCAACGCCTGTGGTCTTTACTACAAACTACACAACGTAAGTAGTGTTGTTGTTATTATTCCTTAAAAACAACGCAACGTAAGTGTTGCTATCATTTATTTCTACGAACTGAGTGACAATGGATGATTGTCTTTTCAGCAATTATAAATGTGGCCTTTCCTAATGTTTCGACGTCGATTTTTTTGTTTGCTTCTTATACAAATTCCGATTTCATATGCAAGAGGACATCTAAGTAATTGTGTTGATAAGTGCATAAAGTTAACAATTTAAATATGTTCCATTCTGACCCTATCACTGATGTTACAGTATTTGAAAAGTTATTAATTCTATCTTTTTTTTATTTATAATTCATGACTAATTTACCATTGGAAATCTTATTAGTAGAAATTTTGTGCTCTAAAACAGAGTATAATATATAAGAGTTATAATCTCTGTGAGGAGCATATAAGAATGAAACTGTTAAGGGAACACTTGGAACAGCGTGTATGTTTGTTTGTGTATTTGAATACGTTAAAACAATAAGAGAAACAGTCTTTGGTGGATGTCTTTCTAAAGTCACATGTCTCATATTTGTGTTACAAATAAGGAAAATTATTTGGAAAAGACATTATAAAAAGAGTACCAATTCCAAAATAAATAACTAAATAAAACATCATCTTCTAAGGTATTTTATACCTCTTTAATATGTGCCTTCCCGACGTGATTTGAAGTACGTCCAGCTAGCATTTTGAAGATCCGGAGTTCGAATCTCGGTGGGAGTGCTGCGCATTTTTCATGTCTCCTACGATAAATCTGATGACGCTCTTAGCCAATTGCATTCTTTCACAGATTTGCAGCCATCTTTCGATTGATAAATTTGTACCGTACCTGTTTGTTTGCTCTTACGCTAGTCGAAGCTATTCATTTATTTCTTAGTGCCCAGTTGGCAACCAAGGCACTGAGAAGTATGCTAGCATTTTATACGAAGGTGCAGTTATGGTTTTACCAGCATATTATAAATAGCTCATCGCAAATATGTCTGTACGTTGTTTTAGTTTCTGTTTTGATGTACTGATAGGAAATTTATACATGCAGTACTCTTTCATGGTTTCAGAAACTATAGTACAGTAGAATCTCGATTATTTCGAGGTAACTGGGACCATAACCATCTGGAATAACCGAAAACGTGGTTTTAGAACAGATTAAATTTTAAATCATTTCAATTTTTCTTTGGACGAGGATTTCTGAAATTGTTAATTGGAAATTCTAGAAGTAAGTGCACAAGTACTATTAACAATTTAAAAAACTGTTTTTATTATTAAGAAAACCATTGTTTCCTTTACTTAAGGAAATAATTTACACCTTTTTATTGCCTGTCACAAATTTCAGTGCAACCTCGAGTAAATAAACTCCATTATTGAAGAGCATTATTAATTGAATATTCAATTCGTGAATGCCGAATTTCTTACACCCATTTTTATGAAACTTTATTATTGTTATTATTATTAAAGTCTGTTGCCCCCCCTTTTTTTTGTGATAACTCACACCAGTTTTGACCAATAAAATGTCCATGGGATAAACATTAAGAAGGTGCTGTATAAGGAGCTTTGCTTAAGACTTCAGTATGCCAACTGCCATTTTGTCCGTTTCCATGTCATTGCCATCCCAGGCATCTCTCCCATCATTGCAATTTGTATTGTGCTCTGGATCTATGGCACTAATAATTTCTTCTTCATTCAAACTTCTTTTGCTGTTTTCTACATTTTTCGATTCGGAACATCATCTTGAGTGATGTCTTCGCATCCTTTTACCTTTTAAAAGTTTACGAATTCATTATCATTGGTGTCTGATTTCTGGTGTTAATTAGGTCTTTAAGCACATATTTTTTTTTTATCTTAATGTACAATAAGAATTATCACTATTAAGAAAGGCCACAAGATTCATCATTGAGAAGATAATACACGAATGTTTCTGGTTTTCCTTGAGCCCTGTCTAATGTTATAACATTTTGTTCATGATTCTTTTTAAACTGATTACCGGTGTTCGGTTAACATATTTTTTAAAAGTGACAGTTTTACTCGCATGTAGAAATGATACCTCGAAATTCATGAAATGACAAAAACTTTCTTTAGAAGACTAATTTTCTAAGTCTGCTGCAGAATGCAAGATGAACTGCATTCTTTTTCTTCAGGCGTCGACATTTTTATGTTGTTACCACTACAAAGGCACATAAAGGATTTCAACGGCAAGGTTGAGCATGAAATTTAAATAGTTTTCCCAGAACAATTAATTCTATGTGTTTAAAGGAACCTAGAATCGGTTTCTGAAAATGCACAATTTTTCTCTAAAACCAGTTGGTTTGTGGTTGAATATTACCCAGTTTTAAAGTTTCCGTTCATTGGCTTTCCTTCAAACTACGACGCACAATTATTTCCGGCTTTGAACTCGGTTTATTGAACTTTTAACATTTTCCAATTTATCTAAACACTCAGTACTTATTTTATAAAGAAATAATATATATATATCCTATAATGCATCGTTTTGTTTAAAACTTGCCATAATATTCCTCTGTTTTATATATATATATGATTATATCTAGCAATGGATTACTATCTTTACAATCATTTTATATTTAAAATTTCTTTGAGGAAAATATACCTTGATTGCAGTTCTGCTGTACGGATTGAAAGGTATTCTTTATTTATGTGAGTCACCAGTTCTAAGAGTATTATGTAAGATATAAGAAAACAGAAAGAAACTAATCAACGTACCATCCCCAACTCATTCAAAGGTCTCCGAAAAGCATGTACACTCAATACGCGGTTCTAATTTAAGAAAGTAGTAGATAATATATCTTAATACAAACGATGTCATGATGCATTCATGGCAGGAGGTGGGGGGTTAGCATTTAGAGGGATGAATGAGGGGGAAAAGAAAACATTTTTAACGGTAATATGTGTCCGAAGAATCATCTTTTGATAATCCCACTTTCTGCTTGTCCATACATCGTGGGCTCCGACTATAATTATTTGTTCAGTGATCATAAATCAGAAATTCTCTGTAACGGGGAGGGGGTGATGGTGGGATGAGCTAGAGGTGCGGGAAAGGCGTGACCTTGGGGTCAAAGCTGCTGTCACCCCCACATACCTGCCGTTTTACCTGCTTTGGCATCGCTTTGAAAGAAGTGAGAAAGACAGTCGTGGATTCCGTTACGGGTGTGATTGCCTTCCCTGTTATGGGAGTGTTTGTGGGTAAAGGAAATTTGGTGCATTGTGCCTGAATAACTCCTCATTATTACTAAAGTGACAGCGAAGCTACATAAGGCCTGCAGTTAAAAACTCGTATGTAATACGTTTAACTTTTACAGCACTAGTGGACATACTACCTAGGGAACCCTATTTTTTATTTCTGAAATTTTAGAAATCATTAAAAATTAATAAGCAAGCTGAAAACATAATTAATAGAATAATGTTCTACAATCTTTGTAATTTATCTAAAAACTAATTTATGGAATAGCAAAACAGACATTTAAATTCATTCGAACAACTAGCCGCATAGAAACTCGATTTAAAAAATTAGGCTGTTAATTTGCATATGAAAACACTTTATATTCTAAGTATGGGAAAAAAAAAAAAAAGAAGAAGAAGAAGTTAATATTTTTAGTGTTATTTCCCTCAAATATCATAGAAATACCTTTCACGAGGTGATATTTCTCTGTTTTAAGATATAAGTACCCAAGAATACTACCACCAAAAAATGTGTTAGAATCCAATTATGGCATTAGAATCCAGTTCCAAGAAATGTAGTGAACATTGCATTTCAGGAAGTCATCACACGGTTTCACTGAGTAAAGGCACTGCCACTTTTATGCCTAACACTTCAAGGCAAAAACCTCTGCAGAAAGATGTAGATACATGTATACAGATGAAACCTTCATTATTAGTTTTTAATGTAAGCAAATTTCATGACGATGCTAGTATTTTTCCTTTTGCATGTTTTTGAGCAAATATAGCTATTAGTTTATTTTTCTTTATTAAAGTGTAAGAAAAATGAAAGTATGGAACACTCTGCACAAAAAAAGGGGGGAGACTGTTCTATATCTCTTGTTCTACTGCCTGCGTGATGAATTAACTTGCGTTTTTCATGTCTCGAGATGCGACTTAGATTATCAGATATAGGATATATATTAAATTTACATATAGCATTGTTCTAACACAGGTATTCTAACCCAAAATCGAACCTTTCTCTGAAATGATATACCAATTTTTTTTATATATTTCGACAACTCAAATTATGTCCAAATATTAAATTTTGTAAAATTTGGTGAGAAACGTACCAAGAAATTTTAAAAAAAAAAAAAAAATATCTTTCATATACCGAACGTACTTTTTTTTCAGTTTATGCCAAGAATAATGCACTTGGCGAAATTCCTAATTTATAGTAACATGTTTTGTTTCCCTTTTCTCATTGTAAAAAAGCGAAAAATGTGCATCATTCATTCTTTCAAGTAAACTTTAACAATGTACGTAACGCACATTTGGCATTATTATCGCTTATAACAAACGTTTTAAATTTTAAAAAGGGCCAATCTATAAATTCACTTAAAATTTTTAAATAAAAAAACTATAAATTTTTTGTAGATATGCTTAGAAAAGTAAATCGCCTAGTTTAAGATGATCTTAGAATCACCTATTTTTAAGGTGATGGTAACAATTTTATATGTTGCAATTGAAAAATTTCTTTGAGAAATTTGTAAAAATTACTAAAATATACAAATTTTAAAAATAATTCAGGAATTATCTGCGAATATTATTTGGAATGAAACTGAATTTCGAACTGTGAAAGAAGGACTCAAATAAGTTTAATTAAAAAACAAGGTATTAATAAATATATACTAAATTCAATTAACGCTGAGACGCCGAGAGCTAATTTAAAAAACTACCAGAGCGATTTTCACAAAACGCGGCACTTTGGTATAATTTGAGACGTAAAATCGAAACAATATGGGGGGAAAATAATTATGTTATTTTAAAATAAGTCCGGTTTTGTGTCAGAAT